TTAAAAATATATGAATTATTATTTTAAAGCTGGATACTACGCACCTCCTATTGCAGTATCCTGGTTTGAAGTTCGGTACTTTTTGTCTAAGGGGCCGTTTTGAAACCTCACTTCTTATCTATCTTATCTAACGTCATGTCATCATGTCACATAACCTCCCTCTTCTTAACCCGCCAAACTTTTGAGTTATTGTGTTGTTTAGTTTTCAGTTATTCCCTTATTACGTTCACTTATTAAATTGTTTACTTTTGGCCCATTTGTGTTTATTTTTAGTTTTTGGCCCGTTTGTGTTTATTTTCCTTTTTTATTTAGTTTGTGACCCCTTGGTGTTTATTTTTCATTTTTTTTTTTTTTTCGTTTATTTTCGTCATATTATGGATCTTCTTAGAATATGGGATTTACCGTCTTCAGAAGAACAGGCAATTCAGTATTTTCAAAATGTTGGGGTACTTGCTGGCTTATCATTGGTGGAGTTTGCCGAGAAACAGATGAATGTTTTATCGTCAAAATAATTGACAGAAAGACAACAACATTATTACAAGCCATTAAAGGAAATATAGAAGAGGGAACGACCATTTATTCGGACTCTTGGAAAGGATACAACACCCGACAACTGATTATTATTTCATTAATATATTTGTCGTCAAATAAAAGTATTTTTGTTGTTATTACATTTGTTTTTGTATCTGTTTACACTTTCAATAATACGAATTTAATACAATAATACGAAGATGTGAAGTAGGAGAAGGCTTATCACTGCGTTATGGGAGCTATCAGTGTTCAGGTTATAAACATTGGCAGATAGCAGTCAGTAGCGGCCGCTTAGACAAAAAGTACCGTAACACTGTCTAAATGGTGGCATGCAAGGAAGATTGTTAAAGAATCAAAATTTAATCAATAAGAAATCTATTGGTGATCTGAACCATTATTGATTTACACGGAAATCTTTACTGGAGAATGATATATATGAATTGTGCTGATTTAACTATTAAGTTATTGATTCCTAAACAAATTTACATGGTAATATCTAAAAGAAAGTTATGACTTAACTTTGGTGTAACTGCCAGCTGGTGGTGGAATGATCTGCTTCATTGAGGTCCTCTAGATCGCATGTCTTAGATCTTCCTTCCAGTATCGTCTCTAGTCTCCCTCGTATAACTCCCTCTGGACTATCATCCCCCACCAACTATCCAGGCTTGACCTCTTCTACTCAGGGCCTCTCCTCCAGGACCGATCTGTTCATCTGGCTGTCTCCAATTTACTGTGTCTATTCTATATTCCCCTCAACCACTCTTTCAGGGTCTTGTTGCGACTGTTGGACGTACCCTGACGGACAATTAGCCTTATCTTTATTGTGTCCATTATCAGGCAGTGCACTGAAAACCCGCGGTCCCCTTTTGGGTCTATTAACCTGAGTAACTTGTGTCAGCTAAAATCCTTCTTTGATTTCATTTATATCAAGTCTTTGAAACATGTTTTAAATCGCAGCCTGTACGATACATAGCATAAAAGTAAAATATTCATATTTCCTGCAGTTATCCATTTGTTCTAAAACGTTTAATAGATACAACAATTATTAGAAAAAAAATACATTTATTGATTTAAGTAGATAGAAATTAGTTTTATTTACAAGATGAAATGCTTTTTATTCAGTGGCATTACTAAGGATGACTGGGCTCCGATGCAGAATTTTTTTTATGCACCTTTCTCCACCATGCACCATATAAATAAGCATATGTAGAAAACCTGTTATAACATATCATATTGACAGTATAAATACTGTTATCTTATTCTCAGCAATTAGATAAGCAGGTCTACAGGCATATCATAATTCCTCCACTGACTTTTGATGGCTATATTGAAAAGATCGGTGGTATCGGTATCAAACCTTTGGGTTCCCTACCTTTAACTTTTTTTAAGTTTTTCATTTTTAATGTAGAAATATTTATTGTTTTCAGGAGCTGATGATTCCCTGCATCAGGCAAAGAAGATCAAAGATCAACAGTATGATTTTGAATCTATGGTTAGTGACAAGATGAAGGAATGTTTGATATTTGATGACCCTCGTGAATGTCCTGAATCTATCTCTAGAACAGTAGATTCAAGTGCCTTAAAAGTAGATACAATGGCCCATCATGCAGATAAAGGCATGAAATCTCATAAATGTCCACATTGTGACTATAAAACAACAAAGATAGGTCCTTTAAAAAACCATATATGGGTCCGTCATACACTTAAGGGCCTTCATAAATGTCCTCACTGTGACTTTAAAACAGTAGAAATAGGTGTTTTAAACTCTCACATAATGGGCCTTCATACTAGTGAGAAATCTCATAAGGGTCCTATTTGTGACGTTGGAACAGTGACTGCAACTGTTAAAAAAAGTCATATATCCCTTCTTACAGGCGAGAAGTTATCTAAGTTTTCTCATAGTGAGTTTAAAACAATTGGTTCAGATAGATTACAAACAAAATTAATAGCCCATAATACAGACAAGAGGCCTTTTAAGTGCCCTAATTGTAACTTCAATACAATGCATGCAAGTTATTTAAAATTACATATAATGTCCCGTCATACAGGTGAGAAGCCTAATACTTATTACACTTGTTCTTATTGTGAGTTTAAAGCAGTAGAGGGGAATGATTTAAAATTACATATAAAAGTTCATCATGGTAAGAAGTTTCATAAATGTCCTCATTGTGACTTTGAAACAATTCATGCAAGTTATTTAAAGGGACATATAATGTCCCTTCATAAAGGTGAGAATCCTAATACTTATTACACTTGTTCTTATTGTGAGTTTATAGCTGTTGAGAGGAATGATTTAAAATTACATATAAAAGTTCATCATACAAGTAAGAAGTCTCATAAATGTCCTCATTGTGACTTTGAAACAATAAAGAGGTATGATTTAAAAATACATATAATGGCCCTTCATACAGATGAAAGGCCTCATAAATGTCCTCATTGTGAATTTAAAACAGTGACAAGAATTATTTTAAAAAAACATGTAATGGCCCATCATGCAGATAAAGGCATGAAATCTCATAAATGTCCACATTGTGACTATAAAACAACAAAGATAGGTCCTTTAAAAAACCATATATGGGTCCGTCATACACTTGAGGTCCTTCATAAATGTCCTCACTGTGACTTTAAAACAGTAGAAACAGGTGTTTTAAACTCTCACATAATGGGCCTTCATACTAGTGAGAAATCTCATAAGGGTCCTATTTGTGACGTTGGAACAGTGACTGCAACTGTTAAAAAAAGTCATATGATATCCCTTCTTACAGGCGAGAAGTTATCTAAGTTTTCTCATAGTGAGTTTAAAACAATTGGTTCAGATAGATTACAAACAAAATTAATAGCCCATAATAAAGACAAGAGGCCTTTTAAGTGCCCTAATTGTAACTTCAATACAATGCATGCAAGTTATTTAAAATTACATATAATGTCCCGTCATACAGGTGAGAAGCCTAATACTTATTACACTTGTTCTTATTGTGAGTTTAAAGCAGTAGAGGGGAATGATTTAAAATTACATATAAAAACTCATCATGGTAAGAAGTTTCATAAATGTCCTCATTGTGACTTTGAAACAATTCATGCAAGTTATTTAAAGGGACATATAATATCCTTTCATAAAGGTGAGAAGCTTAATACTTATTACACTTGTTTTTATTGTGAATTTAAAACAATAGAGGGGAATGATTTAAAATTACATATGAAAGCTCATCATACTGTTAAGAAGTCTCATAAATGTCCTTATTGTGACTTTAAAACAGCAAAGGGACATTATTTAAAAAAACATGTAATGGGTCGTCATACAGATGAGAGGCCTCATAAATGTCCTCATTGTGACTTCAAAACAGTATGGGCAACTTATTTAAAAAAGCATATAATGTCCCAACATACAAGTGAGAAGCCTAATACTTATTACACTTGTTCTTATTGTGAGTTTAAAGCAGTAGAATGGAATGATTTAAGATTACATATAAAAACTCATCATGGTAAGAAGTTTCATAAATGTCCTAATTGTGACTTCAATACAATGCATGCAAGTTATTTAAAATTACATATAATGTCCCGTCATACAGGTGAAAAGCCTAATACTTATTACACCTGTTCTTATTGTGAGTTTAAAACAGTAGAGGGGAATGATTTAAAATTACATATAAAAACTCATCATTGTAAGAAGTTTCATAAATGTCCTCATTGTGACTTTGAAACAATTCATTCAAGATATTTAAAGGGACATATAATGTCCTTTCATAAAGGTGAGAAGCTTAATACTTATTACACTTGTTTTTATTGTGAATTTAAAACAATAGAGCGGAATGATTTAAAATTACATATGAAAGCTCATCATACTGGTAAGAAGTCTCATAAATGTCCTTATTGTGACTTTAAAACAGCGAAGGGACATGATTTAAAAAGACATGTAATGGGTCGTCATACAGATGAGAGGCCTCATAAATGTCCTCATTGTGACTTCAAAACAGTATGGGCAACTTATTTAAAAAAGCATATAATGTCCCAACATACAGATGAGAAGTGCTACCAATGTTATCATTGTAATTATAAAACTGTAAACAAAAGTTGTATTGAGCAACATATGATGGAATATCATTATCAGGCATCAACGTTTTAAAGATGGATGATATTTGCATCAGAATACAAATATTTTCTAACTCGAATGTTATTTAATACTCTACTACACTCTGAATTATTAAATAAAACATTGTTTGAAATATACTTTAATTCAATTTATTTAATGAATCAAAGTTAAACATGTACATTTTAATAAACTTATAAAACAAACAACAATCTCCTTTTACTGAATGTAACTGCTACAATAGCTGATAACCTCCTCTCCTATTAAAAAAAAATTAAATAGTGTTGCCTATTAATTTTTTTCTATGCAACTTTCACACTTTCCCTTATTCAACAATTTACTAATTTATAAAAGCTTCACTTGACACATAACTCTTGTCAACTTATTTTAGTCTTATTTTGTCACAAAGAAGTTGGATGCGTGTAGCAGCTAAGAGCTTGGTTAACCTGTATGCCCATTGATCTTCCGCAGGAACTCTCTTGACTACCAATTCAACATCACCGACCAGCTCTCTAATGAAGAAATGTTTTCTTTGGGCAGGCTTAGTGCGTCGATGGTTCTCAGGAATCTGTGCCAATCGAATAGCGACAGCATTATCAGTTCTGAGGAAAGGATTCTGCCTCCACATAGTAATTTCACTTCGCTAAACCAAATGATTTCCTTCGCGGAGTCGCTGGCGGCTACAATCTCGGCTCCTTGCGGTTAATTCTGTTACTGATGCTTGTCGTTGGTTAATAAATAATGAAATGGCGCCATCTACTTATTTGACAACGACGCCTGACGAGTCCAGTTTTTGCACATCCCCTAAAATCTGCATCATTGCTTTCAAGGATGCTAATAAGAATATCTGCATGGTAAATGATACCAAAATACAAAGTTCCAGCGATGTAACGAAAAACTCTTAAGTCTCACTACATCTTGAACCGTTGGGCTCTCCAATGATGTGTACAGAAAGCCTACAGCGTAAGCTGGGTCGGGTCTACTCCCAAGCATAAGATACATCAAGGAGCCGACTGCTTTCTCTGAATCTGAATCTGGGCTTACAATGATAGGCGATGAAACTAGGTTGCACAATGCAAAGTTGAACCTTTCTAAAATTTTCTGAGCATAGGCTTTTTGACACATTGATATGGCCATTTGTTTACTTCTTTATCCCAAGGTCCAAAAAATAATCAGCATCCTTCGAAGTAATCTTGAACTCTCTTCTAGACTGGTTGAGAAACTCATCAAGTTCTTGCTTAATCGTTCCTGCAACTAAGTCATCTACAACCTAGGCTGAGATGACTTTTTTAATTGTTTCTTTCTCTGACAAACAGGCTAACCTTTAACTGCAAATCTTCTAAAAACTTGCCAATACGCTTATGCCAGCATCTTGGTGATTGTTTCAGTCCATAGTGCCTGATTCTGGGTTTCTTTTCAAACTAAAGTTCATATGGACCTGATTCTGTCTTGTGATGAATTAGCTTGGCCCAAATCGCACATCAGAATTTGAGTACACAAACGTTCTGGCCACCTCTACTGTCGTTCTATTCTTTCGTTCACTACTGCCATTTTGCAGTGGAATATAAGGGACGGTTAACCTCAGGGCGAAAGCGAAGCCTTTTTTTCCGACGGGAATGCAGCGCGGCCTGTTGTTCGTCGTCTTAAACTCTATCTTTGCGAACTTGTTAATATCATAGATCCTATTATTTGGCAGTGCTTGGGGTCAGTGATAAGATTACATCCAAAGTGAAAGTTTAGAGATCTCAATTTGAAGGGGTACTTATTGAGCCGACAGTGGCCAGTGTACAGTCCTGTCAACAGATTAATCATCATTATAAGGAGCCAGCTACAGGAAGACCACGCTCCGCCGTGACCCGAGGTAGTGCATCCGTCCCAATTGCATGTTTCTTGGGTCCTGAGACTCCCCGATCACCCAACGGAGATAAGTTCTCAGCTGGCTCAGACGCTACTACAATTTCACTAGTCGAAGCTGAATTTTCCCTCCCTCCTCTACCTGGAGAACTTTTGAAGCAGTGCCTACCTTTGCGGTCTGGGCATTAGGTTTGGGCGGTTTCTTCTCAAACACTTTGGTTTCGGGGATTCAAAGGATTACGATGTCCGATGTCTGCGACCCTGTCATTTTGTATATGAAGTCTCCTTAAAACGAGCTCCTCCGGGATCTCGCTAGGGAAGTATGATCCTAACAATTTTTTGAGTTGTTCAACACAACCAGAAAGGAGTTTAGTACCCCCAGTGATAGTGAAGTTCTCCGCTAGACTATGAATCCAATATTTGGGGGCTTGATCGTCATAGACCATGATACGACCCTCCAGATGATGATTTAGTGAATTAAACTAAACTCGGGGATGATGCCACCCATCTCCAGTCGATCAACAGTGCTGATTCACCTTCTCTTTCGCCTCATTCTGATCCTTGGTAAGCTGAGCGGACGAGTATCAACAAGGGGTAATCGCCATCCTCCTGCCCCCTATCGTTAGATATCAGGAGATTGCACCAGCCTCTTCGTTGCAGGCGTCGAGTTCCCTGGCGAGAACCTAATGCGCTTCGTGACTGGCTCGGACTCCTCACTAAGCGGTTCCTTTGCGGCCGAAGCTGCTGTAACCGGTATCTCAGTCCCAGGCTTCGTCTTGAGCCTCTTCCACTTTCTTCTCTGAGCACCAAAGAACCCCGTTCTTGGTGGTACACTAGTTCCACTGGCCAGACCCTTAGCCTCCTATGTTATTTCAAAGAGCATAGAAATTTGGACTGAGATTGTATCAATTGAACTTCTTGAATTATGCCACTCCTAGTATCGCCCAACAACTTTTTTCTCTAGCAATTCTATTTCCGTTATCAGTTCCATCTCCAAAGCTGTGTTATTACCCACATTGTCCGTCCAATTTTTAGTTTGATGTGGTGACTGCATTTTTGTTTTCACGAGTATGGGGGTTTCCCTACAGGTACTACCTTCTCTCCCTGCAGAAGGCAATTATATACAATGGGGTACCCCAAGTGGGCCGAATTGACAGTGTATTTTTATATCAGACACACCCTGCCACTCAGTAACGGCTCGAACTTCCTTTAAAGTAATTTTTCTAGAGATCTCGGTTAATGTTGATCATAAATGTTAATAATAAACATATGTTTATAGGTTAAAGATCATATATATAAAAAAATAAAGATTTTGTCTGTACATTAAATAGAATCTTTCCGTGATAACATGATATCTTTCCGTTCCACACATTACAGACACCAAATCCACATTTAAAAGATTTTTTGTCTGTCTGGATGTCCGCATTGTCCAACGAAATTTTGTAAGGGGTAAGTTTGGTAATGGCTAATGGTAGATTTTTGAAATTATATTTAGGTTTGCTTGACTTAAAGTATGCCACACAGCTGCCTTCTGGAATAGAAGAAAGAAGTGTGACTCGTCGCCTCTGTCGTTCGCGAGTCCCATCGCACTTCCCGGGGGAGGAGGGGTTAGGGGGTCACCACAAGAAGACAGTAGGCGTTGATAGATATAGGGAGGACTGGGAAGTTGGGAAGTCAAAAGCAGTTGGTTTGGTCACATTTTTTTTTTCCTTTCTCGCCTTTCAGCCTATATGGTTTTTTTTTTCTGGGGGCAGAGGGTGAGACCGAGCGATTAATGCCAGAGTTAAAGGACCGTTTTATGTATGTTTGGAACGGTGTTTTGTTTAATAGAATAGGGGATCACACGCTTCAATCGATGTTTTTTTGTAAAAAATCAAATATTTTCGACGGAGATTCGGAAAATTTTGATAGAAAAGTTAAATGTTTATCAACTGCAGTAGCCGTTCATGATCAATTTGATGAGTTTAAAAGTGGTTTTGCAATGATAGTTCGAATTTAGTAAATGTAGTGAATAGTCTTTTTCGTTTTAGTTCGTTTAGTTCATATGGAAAGAATGGAGTTCGAAAAGTACGTCAGAATCCTAACTGAAGAACCTGACTAGCCGATCTGGAAAATAAAGGTACGAGATTTGCTGGATTATCGTGAAGGAGCGATAGATTGTGTTGATAACAAGCTAGTGAAATCAGAACCATTGAAGAATACAGCTTTAGGAGCAACACAAAGTAGATTGTTATCTTTATCGAAAGGCCCCAAGTCAATAATCACGAATATGGTTTCTGATTCAATCTATCAGAAAATGAATAAAGAGATTGTACATGCAGCTTGGAGGGATCTGCTTGAAGCTACTTCACAGGATCAGCTATTAAAGGGTTGTGCGGACTTTTTCGCTTTCGTTTGGACATTGAGAGACGACGGTAAAGGTCATCGACTGCCATTTGGCACTAGAAGAAAAGCACCAAAGCCAGGCGAGCAAGAGAAGCAAGGTCACAACGTCAAAGAGCTCCTTAGTGATAATGGTGGTGAGTTTGACAATGCTGACGTTCGAGGGATATTGCAAAAAAAAAGAGGGTCACTCGCGGGAGAGGGAGGGGGACTGGGTCGATTAACAGGAGGAATGGATCACTCCTTACGGAATGAACAAACAATAGCGCCCTACCCATAAGGAGCGGGTGGCCGAGTGGACTAACGTGTGTGCACAGCACCGCGCGTTGCCCGGCAACCTGATTACCGAGATAAAGACGACAATTACAAGTTCGCGTCCAGGTGCCCGGGGGGAGGGAGAAAAGGGTCCTTTAACTCTGGCATTAATCGCTCGGTCTCACCCTCTGGCCCCAGAAAAAAAAAACCATATAGGCTGAAAGGCGAGAAAGGAAAAAAAAAATGTGACCAAACCAACTGCTTTTGACTTCCCAACTTCCCAGTCCTCCCTATATCTATCAACGCCTACTGTCTTCTTGTGGTGACCCCCTAACCCCTCCTCCCCCGGGAAGTGCGATGGGACTCGCGAACGACAGAGGCGACGAGTCACACTTCTTTCTTCTATTCCAGAAGGCAGCTGTGTGGCATACTTTAAGTCAAGCAAACCTAAATATAATTTCAAAAATCTACCATTAGCCATTACCAAACTTACCCCTTACAAAATTTCGTTGGACAATGCGGACATCCAGACAGACAAAAAATCTTTTAAATGTGGATTTGGTGTCTGTAATGTGTGGAACGGAAAGATATCATGTTATCACGGAAAGATTCTATTTAATGTACAGACAAAATCTTTATTTTTTTATATATATGATCTTTAACCTATAAACATATGTTTATTATTAACATTTATGATCAACATTAACCGGGATCTCTAGAAAAATTACTCAAGAATTCATAACTTTAGTTCTAGTCAATATTTTGTTTTTATTTATAGCCTAAGTTTTAAGTCAAGCAAACCTTAATATAATGTCAAAAACTCAAATGTCTACAATAAGCCATTGCTGATCTTACCCCTTACAATATTTCGTGGCGATGCGGACATACAGACAGACAAAAATTTTTTTAAAAGTGGATTTGGTGTCTGCAATGTATGAAACGGAAATATATCATAAAACGGGTTGATTCTATTCAATGTACAGACAAAACCTTTATTTTATTTATATAGATTGTTTTCAAGTTATAAGACAAAATAAATTTAAAATTTTGTTGAAGTAAATTGATTTCTGTCATAACAAAAAACACGATTATTAAAGAGTTAATACTTATCGCAAACTGGTCATTGTAAGTTTCTAA